ATGAAATGAGTTTTTTAAATGAATCTTGCACAACTTTGAGAAAGTGAATATATAAGATAAGTGTTATAAACACTTCACTAAGTGTAGATAAGTGAGTAATCTTACATTATACTTTACATACTTCAGCTTATACTATCTTACATTGAATAAAGAGCTTTCAACATTTTTTTATTTACAGATCTTCATTCATGATCTTATATCTGAGTTAAGAGTGAAATGAAAATGCTTAACCTCATAATCAGATATAATGAAAGAAGTATACAATATTCTCATTATATAAGAACAAGTGAGTCAAATATAATAGAAAATACTGTAATCAAGTATATCTCAGCAGAGAATGAATAATCAGACTTCTATAACACAAGTTATACATCTGAATATAATGAATCTAGATCTGAATGTTATCACTAAAGTATTAAATTCTCTGAAAAAGAGATTCTCTGAGTGAAAATCTTGATATTATGAGCATCAAGCTTGCTTCAACTGCAGACATCAAAATCATAATATAAAAGATTATACTCAGTGTACACAGTTAAGAGAAGTAAGAAAGTTAAAAAACTAGCAGAATCAGTGAGCTCAGAGACACTTACTGATATTCTATAAAAAGTTTTTAAAGTGAAAGAGATGCTCATGTTAGATAACTCTCTGAATTCTGTGAATATAAAGAAGAAGCAGACTTCTGAATAAGATATAAGTGAGAATGATAAAGTGAACACTTATCTCAATATCTTAAGACTTAAAATGTTAATGTATAGAGAGCACTTGAATAAGAATTGAGAGATGACTGTAAAAGTGTTAGTGAATACAGACACTTCTATATAATATATTGATAATTATATAATCTGAAGATTGAAAGAGATTCACTGAGTGAAGAATCTCTGATGTATAAGATTATCTGATAACTAATATTTAATATTATCTGCAAGAGTAAGAGTTCTCTTGTACTTTGAAGAATAATCTTACTATATTTAAGCATGAGAGCTGCAGAACATGAAATACAATCTTATTCTCAGACTTAATTAATTTCAAAGATTCAATTCACAGATTCAATGATGTACATGCTATATACAGTTGACTGATAGAAAGAAAACAGTTCATACAATTCTATTAACTGATATAAGAAGAATATTTCACATCTCTGATATAGAAGAATTAAATCTGCTTATATATTAATAAGTAAAGAGAACAATTCATAAGACCTCATCTGAAAGCATTCTGTATGTCATACAGAACCTGAAAGTGAAGAAAATCAAGATAAAAGATATGCAGAAGAATAAGCATATAAAGAAGCTTCTGAAGAAGTATGAAAAGATCTTCTGAACAGATCTTTCACTGAAATTACTGCTGAAATGAGGATTTATACATGAGATTGATATGAGGAATGCAAAACCAGTCAATTAGAATATATATTCTTTATCACAAATGTATCTTGAAGAATAGAAGTATCAGATCACATATCTTCTAGAACATGATCTTATATAATTCTTATCAAGTATATAAGGCTTTTCAGTTCTATTCATAAAAAAGATGAGTGAGAAGTGACAGATGTGTATTGATTATCAAGTACTTAATAAGCTTATAATCAAGAATGAATATTCACTGTTATAAATTCAACAATAGTTGAATACAGTTGAAAATGTCTGATATCTATCAAAGATTAATCTTCTCTCAGAATACTGACAGATCTGTGTAGATGAACTGTCAGTTCTGTGAACTACATTTAATATATAATAAGAGAAGTTTGAATTTCTGATAATACTATTCAGTCTGATAAATATATCTGTCATCTTTTAAATAATGATGAATACAATTCTTTATAAACAGAATGAAATCTTATATCTTGTATATCTTGATAACATTCTAGTCTTTTCAAACTCATATAATAAACATCTGAAGTATCTTGATGAAGTGCTTATAACTCTGACAGAGTATAAGCTCTATATCAAATTAATTAAATATGTGTTTAAAATGAAAGAGTTGAAGTTCATAGAACATGTAGTGAGTGATGACTGTATACATCTCATTCTGAAGAAATTGAATGTCATAGTGAATTGACTGTGACTGAGAAATGTATATCATATACAACAGTTTCTTAAGTTGATCTCATACTACTGCAGATTTATTAAGAATTTCACATAAATATCTGTATCACTCTCAGATCTCTTAAGAGAAATGAATACAAATCTGTGAAAGAAGAAGTTTCATTCAATTATCTGAAATACTGTATATAAAGAGGTTTTTCTCACACTGAGAGAATATGTAACAATATCTTCAGTGCTTATTTAATCAGATTGTAATAAATCTTTCTACATTGAGACAGATGCATTTGAATGAGCTATTAGAGATACTCTTCTACAGATGAATAAGAATGACAAGCTGCACCTGATGATGTATAATGATAGAAAACTATTAAGTGTTAAGCTCAATTACTCAGTGCATGAAAAGAAATTACTAGCAATTAAGCATATACTGATATTATGAGATAGATATATTGACAACAGATATATAACAATGATGATCATAAATCATGAAAGTCTTATCTATCTATAATTAATGATAAAATCTTTCAAATGCTTAGCATGTTGAATCTCAGAGTTTCAAGTATATAATCTTCATATTAAATACTGAAAGAAATCAGATACTGTGCATTAACAACCGCTCCACCACGAACTCGCTCGATTTTTCGAATAAGAACCCGCCGATAGATCCATCGAAAAGCCCTCGATCATACGAGCATTTTGACCCCATCGCCGACCGCATACCCCGTGTGGTGGTGGAGTTATCCAGCCAAACATGAACCGGACGTTGTTCGAAGCTCCTGTGTGGGATTATCCCCCGTTCTCCCCTACCACACCACAACCCCGGGCCAGAGTGCCATACAAATTGTAAGGTGAAGTGACCTAGCCATATGCACCAATCTTCTCGATTTTGGAAGACCCCCGACCTGTAGTTGTGGAGATATCCGAGGAGCGACCTCCGCGAAAACCCTGTCCATCTTTGATGTTCCAAAACACCAACGCCAAGTCTCACCCTCGTACCGCCCTTCTCAATCTGGCCCATCCCCAGCAGAAAAATACAAAAAGATACCTCGGCGATAATATCAAGCACATAATCAACAGACTCTTCTGAAGTGCAACCTCCACGGTCCGCCGCCAGTGTATCTAGACTTCAACACCAAGTCTCACCCCTGTACTACCCCTCTCAATCTGGCCCATCCCCAGCAGAACAATACAAAAAGATACCTCGGCAACAGTATTCAATACATAACCAGTGGACAACAAGTCAACAGCACACCAACAACTATAAAATCAGTATACCCCAAGGTCTGACTGAGCCTTTGATCCCTGCACAGTGAGATATATTAAATCTAGTTTTAATACCTCAATATTCAATAGATTCTGCAAGGGATTGAGAACAGCAACACTAGGTTTCTATTGAATTTGAGAATTAACTCTATATTGATATAATCATTGACAAAGTCTTCTATTTTGAGATATAAATAACCAGTTCCTCTACATCCCGCTGGCAATATTTATATTATCATATAGAAACAGACTTATATTCTCTATAATATCAAGACCCTGAAGAGGGAAAGTCTTGGTAGGGGGTATACAGTAGTGCATATCTTAGCAGTTTCTATCTCATTCTTCTGCAGCAGTTAATGCAAAAAAAAAAAGATCTTAGAAATAGTTTTTTACTTCTCTTGAAAAAGTAAGGTGTTTTTCTCTGAGTTTTACACAATATTCTTACAAAGAATTAAAAACAGAGTTGTTTTCTGTCATAATTTCATATTCTTTTAAGTAAGAATTACTTTTTCAGTGGCTGAAGAGCTTTCATTAATACTTAATTCTTTTTTACACTCTTTATTAACTGATTTGAGTTGCACACTTGTTGTGTGAGGAGAATTGGATGATTTAGAATAAAATTGAATAGTTTTAATCAATTTCTCTGCAAAAAATTGATTTATTTTTTGTCAGTTTTTCTCTCAAAAACTGTCATATCATCTGATTTATTATCAATTGATATCATACTTTTCCTCACTGTATCCCAAGAAAGAGATTGTAAAGATTTTATTGATTTATCTTAAAAATCAATTTTAGTTTATTAGATTCTCTTCAAAAATCTAACCTAGTTACTGAACTAGTGTGAAAAAAATCAGGTGTTTTATACACAAAAGTCTTTTATTCTTCTTTTGAAACAGTCTGACCAACTTTTCAATTGAAAACAGACTTAGAAATATCTCAATTGAAACAGTCTGACCAACTTTTCATTGAGTGAAAACAATGAGTTCAAAAATACACTCAGTTGATGTGGAAAAAGATGCTTTCTCAAATGCTATTCCTGAGATTGAAATTCTGAAGAGAAGAAAGAAAGAAGAAATAGAGAAACAACAAGTTCTTGAAATACAGAAACTTGAAAAAGCAAGCAAGATTCTTGGAAAGCAGTGTCTGAGTGAGATGAATGAAGAAGTTCTGTTAATTCTTCATGCTCAGGCCAGACAACTACAGGAGATGATCAAGTTCAAACTTGGAATCTCAAACACAGTTCAAAAAACCTTGAAAATTCCTAGTACAATCACTGACTCTTCATCTTACTCTTCTTCTTCCTTTCTTCCTACTTCTTCTTCTTCTTTGAATCAGAAGAAAACATATGCTCAAGCAGCTGAATCTGCTGTCTCTAAACCTGCTGTCTCAAAACCTGCTCAAAATCCTGAGAAAACTGAGAAGAATACTGCTCATGCCTCTATTCATAGAAAAGTGGAAAAGAAAATGCAAAAAGAGAAAAACTTCCAAATCTCTAGAAATAGAAGACTCATTCTCAAAGTCTCAAACCAGGACATTCTGCAAAGAAACAAGCTAAACTCAAATCTCATTTTCAGAATCAGAAATGAAATTAATCAGTAGTTCTTTTCTCAGTTGATGACTGATATTGAAGTTCAAAAACCAGTTATAGCTTCAATTGAGCCATCATTCTTTGGAAACTCTATTATTCTGACTACAATGCCTGAATTCAGTGCTGAATTCCTTATTCAGAATGAGAATCTCTGGAAGTCAGCAGTAGAATCATTGCTAAACACAACAATTCTATCTGAAAGAGATGAAAAGTGGGGCAAATTCATTCTTCATGATATTCCAGTTGAAATTTTTGACTGTGAAGAAGGAATGCTACTTCTCAAAAATGAATTAGAAGAATACAACTCCATTCAACTGAGAAAGGAGCCTGTATGACTAAATTCAATTGAGTTCAGACAAAGCAGGAGAAATGCCTCTGTTCTAGTATATACAAAAACACTTGAACAGTCAAAGATCTCTGAAGTAAGAGTAGCAGGTTTGAAAATGAGAGTTCATGAATACAAAGACTCAAGAATGAATCTCAAAGCTCAAACACAGTGTTCAAACTTTCAAAGATATGGACACTTTGCAATCTCATGTTTTAGAGACTCAAAATGTGCATTCTGTGCCAGAGATCACAAAACTAGTGAGCATAAATGTGAAACATGCTCAAAAAGAGGTGAAATTTGTCAACATACTCTGCTTAAGTGCTCTAATTGCAAAGAAAAACATGCATCTAGCTCAAAAGAATGTATGTTTGCTCCTAGAACTCAAAAGAACTGAAGAAAAGATGAAGCTCAAAGTCAATCTAGAACTGAAGAGAAGAGTCAAGCCAGTAAACTCACAACTGCAAGCTCAAAAAGAAGAAACTCTCAATTATCTAAGTCTTCAAACTCCAATTCTCCAGCAAAATGTAAACAGAATTTGAATTCTCAAACTCCTGTTAAGATTAGAGAATTGAGAAATGACTCTGGTGATAAACTAGATATAATGCAAGCAGTTGAGATTCCTACTTTTCGGAACAGTTATAATCTACTATCTGATGATAGTGATTAGATTCTTCTCTACTCTCTTTTAGTATGAATATACAACAAAAACAACAAAAAAAGTTTAAAAACTCTTCAAAAATCACATTTATTCAAAATAATGTGGATAGAAACTCAAATTGCATTTATTCTTGTCTTCAAATTGCATTTGAACAAAAAGTTGATTTTGTACTGCTTCAGGAGCCGAATTTTGATGCTGAGCAAAAATATGTCATTTCTCATTCAAGCTACTACTGCTTTTTACCTCAAAAGTCTGAGATAAAGTCAAGAGTAGTGATCTATGAAAGAAAGAGATCAAGATATCAATTTAATCTAAGATTTGATATCATGTCTGACCCTGATATTCTGGTGGGTGATATTATAGATAAAGAAGATGAGTTTGATACTATACAGCTCATAAATATCTATAATGAAAAGTCATTGAAGGAAAATAACAATACCTGGACAATTGATAGAGGATTTCTGAACATAACTCCATCAAAAAACTCTATAATTGCAGGAGATTTCAATGCACATCATCCCTGGTGGAATTCAGAATGCAAGAGAGCAGTGAGAGCTGATAATCTGATTGAATGGACCTTTGAGCATTCAATAGATTTGGTTAATAAGTCTGATCAACAAACATTCTTTAGAAAAGGCATGAAACAGAAGTCTATTATAGATCTAACATTCATGTCACAAAATCTAATGGAAAGAAGACTTGTAAACTGGTTTATTGATTCAAATGAGACATCAGGATCAGGTCATGAGATTATTCAATTTGATATTGAACTGAGTGAAAAACAAATGAGTGAAAATCCTCTTCTCTCTAATCAGTATAACTTTGAAAAAGCTGATTGGAAAGCAGTTGAAGAAAGCATAAAACTGTTAAAATCTGAAAGAAAGAATGAGCTATATTGAAATTCTGGTCAAGATATCTCAAATGAAATGCTTGAGAATAGAGTGAAGCTTATTACATCTATCATTCTAACAAGTGTTAGAGATAATATTTCAAAAAGAAAATCTTCTGAGTATTCAAAACCTTGGTGGAATGAGAATATCTCATCTAAAAGAAAAGAATTAGCTACTGCTAGAAGAGATTGGAAGAATGATGTAATATCTAATGAAGAGTTCAAAACTGTCAGAAATGAATATTTTTCAGATATTAAAAGAGCTAAAACAGACTGCTGGAATAAATTTCTTGAAGAAGCACAAGGGAAGGAAGTTTTTAAAGCTTTTAACTATACTAAAACAAGAAGTGTAGCAAAACTTCCAGCTCTAGAATATGAGTCTCAGAATGAATCATATACAGCAAACTCTTTTGAGGAAAAATGTCAAGCTTTCATGAGAATTCTCTTTCAGAACTCACCAGATTCAGATTCAGATTCAGAGGAAGAGAATATATCACTTCTCAACTACATTGATGAAAATGACTGGGAATGGCCTGATCTTACACAAGATGAATTAGAGTCAGCTATCTTCTCAAGTTCTGTTAAAACTGCTGCAGGTCCTGATTCAATTAATCACTTGATTATTCAAAATACATATTCCTACTTAAAGAATGAATATTTTGAGCTCTTTTTCAATCTCTTGAAAAATGGATATCATCCTGAATGCTGGAGAGAAGCCACTGGAGTGATTCTTGTAAAACCTAATAGAAAAACTTCAATTTCTAAGTCATATAGAGTAATATCTCTATTGAACTGTTTAGGAAAGGTTTTAGAAAAGATAATAGCTACTTGACTATCTTTTATAAGCTCTATAGATGATTCTCTTTTATTCAGTGAACAAATGGGAGGTAGAAAACAGTGTTCTGCAATTGACACTGTTCTCTCAGTTGTTCATGATATTCAAATAGCAAAGCATGAGGGTCTGGTCTCAACTGCAGTTTTTATTGATATAAAAGAAGTGTTTGATCATGTTTCAAAGTCAAAGTTAATTCAGACATTGAAGATATTAAAACTGCCACTTTCCCTAATAAAATGGGTTAACTGTTTCATGTCTAAAAGAATTATACAACTCTTCTTTGATGGAATGAAACAAGACAAGACTGAGATAAAAATAGAAGTACCACAGGGGTCTCCAATCTCACCCATTTTATTTGCAATATACACTGCATATCTATTCAAAAATAGAAATATGAGAATAGTGCGATCTCCGAGTTATGTGAATGATATTGGTCTTGTCTACAGCTCAAAAACTATCAAAGAGAATTTGAAAGTAATTGAAGAAGCTGCAAAGGAAATCTTTGTTAGAGCAGATATCAATCAAATTCAATTTGATATGGATAAAACTGAGTTAATTCATTTCTTTCCTAGATTCAATGAGAAAGAACTATCTCTAACTCTTTTAAATAGAGAGATTAAACCCAGTGTAAATGTCAAATGGTTAGGAGTATGATTAAACTCCAAGTTGAATTTTAAATATCACATTCAACAAAGAACTGTCAAGGCAGAAAGACTATTGAACAACATAATCAGACTATCAAATACAGAGAGGGGTCTATTCTTCCAGGCTATGAGACAGTTATATATAGCCTGTATTACATCAGTAGCTGATTATGGAGTTCAAGTTTGGTGGAATAATCAAGAGAATTTCACTGAACTCTTTCAAAGTCTGCAAAACAGAGCCTTGAGAAGAATTCTGAGAGCATTTAAATCATCTCCTATTAAAGCAATGAAAATTGAAGCTTCAATTCCTCCTCCTACTATTAGATTTGAAAAGGCCTGTATGAACTATGCTCTGAGAGTTGTAAAGATGAGCTCAAATCATATAATCAGAGAAAGAGTCTCTTCTTCATTTCCATCAATTAACTCTGGAAATGAACTGGATTGGAATAGATTTCTTGATTGGAATGAAAATAATTCTTCAAAGAAAATGCCTTCTCAACTGTACAGACTATGCTCTCTGATTAAAAATCAATTTTCTTCTTTAAATGTTGAAAAAGTTGATCATGAGAAGTTATCTCCCTGGAGAAAAAAGCTTGAATCTCTTATAGACTTACAAATAAGTGAACTATCAAAAGAGAAAGAATATGAACAGTATTTGAAGAGAATTTCTACAATCAATATAAAAGACTCTATTCTGATTTATTCAGATGGCTCAAAAAATGAGAACTTGAATAGATTGGGCGCAGGCATTGCTTATACTGAAGATAATATTAATTTTATCTCAGATTTCTGGAATCTAGGCTCTGAATGTGAAGTCTTTGATGCTGAACTATTTGCAATAGTGAAAGCTTTCAAACTCATTGAAATAAAATCTCATAAAAGAGGAAATTGTTTGAAAGAGGCATGGATATTCTCTGATAGTCAAGCTGCTTTAAAAAGACTTAGAAATAGTCAGATTCATAATGGTCAAATGAATCTTGAACTGATCTTAAACTCTGTTTTAAAAATTCAAGAGAGAAGAACATCAAAGCTGAGAATTCATCTGCACTGAGTTCCTGCTCATATGAATATTCATGGCAATGAATTGGCTGATTCAGCTGCAAAAAAGGGTGCAGAATTAAGCAGATCTATTCAAAAAATTGTGTCCTGGTCTTTTATAAAGAGAAAAATAAAAGAATCTTGTTTAAACAAGTGGAATGAAAGCTGGCAGAAACAAAAGAAGAGTATACAGTATTCAAGATTTGAAACAAAACCCAAGTGGAAATCTTGTTCAATTAAATGTAAAAAGAAAATATTCTCATCTATAATACAGCTGAAACTAGGACATGGCTATTTCAAATCTTATATACAAAGATTTGATGATAGATTTGACTCAATAGAATGCTCATTCTGCAATACAAATGAGAATCCTGAGCATATTATAATGCACTGTGCATTATACAATAGTCTCAGAGCCAGATTGAAAGAGAAGTATGATCTAAATCAATTAAATATGAGATTCTTATTCTCAACTGAGACAGGAATTAAATACTTAATAGACTTTCTATCAGAAACTCAAGCAGCTACAAGAAAATGGCTAAATTCAGAATTATCTGAATATGAAGAGGAGGAAATCAATCAGATATAGTCTGTTAAAACAGCTATACACTCTCTTTTAAGAATTTGTTTTGTTATAGTCTCTCTTTACTTTTTCTTTTTCTGTATCTTTTCCTTTCAATTTCTTTCTATCTATCTATTTAATGTGTCTATCTTTGAGACTGTGTTCTTCCTCTCTTTTCTTTTGTCATGATATTGTCAAATGGTTTCAAAGTATCAAAAGATGTTAAAACACTGCAATTTGTAAACAGTTTTTGTATTCTGGGCTGGAATTTTCTGATTTTGCATATCTGAAATTGATGAATGTACAATAGTTAACTTTACAGACATAGAAAAAACCCTGAGAACTAAAGTTCTCAGGTAGATGTCATAGTCTCTGACTGCA